CCAATCATTGCGTTTCGAAAGCCATGCATCCATCAAGCAATAGCATTGGGGGTCCAATTAAAGGTAGCAGCATGCCATGCAACAATCCAGTGATGAGAAGACACTATATCCCACTCTCTCTCTCTTATGTCTTCAAGATTAAATAGGCTGGAGAGCAACTTTTGTGCGTCAATTTCCAAGACAAAAGGCTGAACGGCAAACCTACGACATGTCTTGTTCGTCAGTACGTACGTGGTACGCACATGCTTTTTTACATAATTGGTTTTGAAATCACAAGTTAGACGACCTAGCTAGCCGTAGTATAGGTACATAACGTACTGATCAATGGTCGAAATGGGAGTGTGTGTAACGATGCTAGCTATAGCACCTTGCAAGTTAAAAAAAGAGCAAGCGACAAGACATCAAAAGGCCGACAAGTTCATACTGTTCTGTACGGTGCAAGCTCATGGATGTCAGCACACATGACCGATCTCGATCATTAGATCTTTAGCTTTGTGAATTTTAGAGCCACGTAAAGCTAAAGCTAGCTTCCTCTCCTTTATTTTCTGTACCATGTACTTGGTTAGTGTATTAGAGAGAGACTAATAATACAGCCGGCTTGATAGCTCTAAGGTTCTTTGTAGCTTTCTCTCAGCCTATCCATACAGTAGTTATTTTTCACTATTTAATACATGGTTCACTTGTCCTTCTCACAGAATTTTTGGTTCCTATACCTAAGCCAACTGTAAGCTTACAACTCGCTTCTCCTATCTCTCATCTTTTCTCTACTTCACCTCAGAATTTAGCTAGCTTACATCAGCCTGTTATTATACTTGCTCTTAACATAGTAGCAAAGAGGAAAAGTAACTATCCTACATGTAGGAGAACATACGTGCAAAGTATAAGAATAGTCCCAACCTAGAAATTAGGATTCTTTTTATAGATATTAGTTAGAGTGCCAACTAAATAAAATGTTGATGTGTCTTTAGAATTAAGAAAGAGATCTAATAAAATAGTCCCTTATAAAAAAACTACTCCCTCCGTTCCAAATTATAATATGTCTTGGCTTTTCTAGATACATTGCTTTTGTTATGTATCTAGACATAATATATATCTAAGTACATATCACAAGCAATATATCTAGTAAAGTCAAAATGCCTTTTATAATTTGAAATGGATGGAGTATATGTCTACACAAGAATTAAGATAAGAAAAATATGATAGGTGGATGATAACAGAGAGAGAAGGCAGGTGACTGGGGAAAAATCTATATTGAAGAAATCATTAGTGGGAATATGATTTCATGATGTAGTGTGTATATTACTAGCTCGTCGCACTGTTTTGCGGGAATTTGGGGACGAAGTAGCTGTTTTAGTCCGTCTGGCGGTTCAACCGCATGTGTCACGGTCAGACCACAAGGTCACGGTCGTGGCTGATTGGCCATAGGGGCGGAACGCCGCATGTCGTCCTCGCTCGCCACCTCGCCCGTGCGCGTAAAAACAGAGTCCGAGCGTTGCCCTCTGCTCTCGGTAAGTATGAAAATTATCTCATAATTTCTAGGTTCGGGCTGCCTTAAAGGGACTCTCGATATTGTGACTAGGATAATTTCCATGTCATTTATTATGATGCCACGTAAGATATTTCTTTTTTTAACACAAGCCACGTAGGATATTTCACGGATGTGACAACAACATTAAAATGGAGAGGTTAGAAACTACAAGGAGCTGGATCTCATCCAAGAAACTAGGTCTTACACGTAAACCAAAATTTAAGAAACTACATAAAATCCATTATTAGAATGGGCATTGTAGTTGCTAAGAAATATATAAGAGAGTGAAGAAATGAAGATGATTGGGAGAGACTCGACAAAGATGATTGGAGGGGTTTATTTTGTAGCCACGGTTAGATATTGTGCATTGTGAACTATATAGTTTCTTTAAATGGTATCTACTATGTTACATGACATGTCATAGAAATACTAAGTAGTTTTTTCATTAGGACTGCACTAAGTAAGAGTAAAATGATTTTATTTTTCTCATGGCCAGCTGGCATTATGAACCGATGCATGCAAGTGTGAATCGGTCAAAGACCAATTGGGGCCTATGTGAAATGCAAGAAAAATTCCTATTCTTGTGTTTTTATAAGAAATTGAATTGATTCATGTGGAATTCCTGCATAATTCCATGAAATTCCTATGTTCCAAACATGGCTTTGCTTTTTCATTACAAGTTTATTAGGGTAGTTCCGACGAGGAAACCATAAGATAGTTTTCATACATGCTAATTAAGGTAGACACTATACACATGGTAATTATATTCACAATAGATGGTTTTCTTCAGCTTAATTAATTTTTTTTATCTAATGATCGACCTTCTCTCTCTTATCATGAATATGTCACAGTTTTTTGCCTTTGTTCCTGTGTAGAGATAGTTCCTTATGTAAGAAACTATTTCCTTCCCTGTCTTCCTTGATTCTAATACAATATCAACATTTTGCCTACTTGGTACCGTAATTATGCTATGAAAACTATCCATTGGAACTGCCCTAACCCATTTAGAGCTCATTTTTCATATAGCTTGGGATATGCTACCTCGGCCCCTCCCTTTCATAATACTTCTTATACTTTTTGGCTTTGGGCACACAACCCAAGGAGGCATGCGATTATAATTCTAACAAATTATAAATTAATATAGGCTTAGATATAGCAGAGGGGGTATAGGGGCTATGGCCTTGTTCGCTTCGCTGAAAAGCCATGGCTGAAAGTACTATTTACTGATTTATTATGAGAGAAAAACATTGTTCCTTCGATGAAACAGTACGGCTCATAAGACAAGCGAACAGGGCCTATGATGTCATTGAGATGTATAGATATATAGTGTATAGCTACTACTCTCTCTACCTAAAATATAAGTTATCCACTTATTTTTAATATTCAAAATTTGTAGTTTTTAAATGACAACTAGTATAACAATATGAAATAATTGTGTTATAAAAGTGCTTTATATTTAGAAATACTTTGTAGTGATCAAACTTTTTTCCATGACTAGTATATTATAAATATAAATTATTAGTCAAAATATGATCTCAATAAAGACCATGTAAAGTCGATCCGCACGAAGGGAATACATTATTTTAGTATAGCAACCATGCGCAATGACCAAAGAAAATATTATTTTTCAGAGAAAAATCAAAATGAAATGACCACCTATACTCCTAATAAATAGCATGATAGAACAAACTTCTTTTCTTTTAAAGCATTCAGTTAAGGTAAAAAATTGAATTTGAAATTAGCAAATAACTGCACTCTTGATTTTTTTTTTATGGATGCAGTAGAAGGCAGGAGAAGGAAGATGAGGAGGGTTGTGGTTGTGGGCCACCACATGCGTGGCTTTGGAAGGATCCATCTCCATCCGCGGGGAAATTAGGGCCATGTTTAGTTCCCCATTTTCCGGCGCCACGCCTGTGGCCTGAAATCAAAACTAATTGCACAGGTTTGGTAAGTACTTCTACGAGACGAACGTTTTAAGCCTAATTAGTCAACGATTGGACAATTATTACCAAATAAAAACAAAAAAGGCTACCGTTGTTTGCCTTTCGCCAATCGCGGCGCCGAATCACCTCCAACTAAACACGGCCTAGGAAGGCCCTCCGGCGCCACGCCTGTGGCCTGTGGGGCCCTCAAAAGGCGGCTGTTGTTTGCCTTTCCCCACGCTCTACACACACGTGCTTCTAGCTCTTCGCTTCGGGTCGGGGCCCACTGGGCCACCCTACGCTCTACGTACGTGCTTCTAGCTCTAGACTTCGTAGTCGTACCGTATATGTTTTGCTCTCTATATTTTTCTCGCAAGTTTTCTTTGCGTGTTTTGTTGGTATCCTAGAGGGAGGGAGGGAGGGAGTTTGAGAGAGAGAGAGAGAGAGAGAGAGAGGGGGGACGCCGTGACCGTGAGCTGCAGGGGCTTGAATGAATGAAACAAATGAGGCGTCAGATGTTGCTGTGGCGCAGGAGACCACGGTGGGCACAGCATCAGACGGCCGGGAGGGAAGCGATGGACGAGCGCCATGCTTGTTTGTCGAGGCAGCAAGCACCGCCGCAGCACAAAAGCCGCGGGACACGGCCGGGTGCAGGCGTGCAGCACCCACCGTCCCACCCAATCGTGTATGCATATGCATCGGCATTGCAAGCATTGCTCCCAATGCCAATGCCAATGCCAGCAGCTACCACGGAGGTGCTCACCTCCAGCAGTCAGTCTGCTTACTTGCTGTCCCTAGTCTCTACTCCCTGTCATGGCACGCACAGATTACCAGTGTGACCGTTTGCATTGAAGTGATGGAAGGAGACATGCCGGCATCTCTATTTGTAAAATAAATTCTGCTTGAACTCAAGAAAACATTTTCCCTACCCCCACCGTAAAACTTCACCACCTCTCTAGCAACAGTAAGACATTTCTTTCGAGAACAAACAACACACCAATGGATGCACTACTGTATTTCATTACCAAATAACACCTTCCCACAATACAGAATACATTTCTTCAGTGAAACATTCCATAATACAGAATACGGACAAGGAAACGTTAACTACAAAAATACACTAAGTTACAGGGGGTTGTACAACTGTCTTCTAGTACACAGCAGCCGTTTTTGGCCTCTCTCTCCTCATGCATGCGCATGCATGCGTCGATCAATCTGCGGCTACCCAGGAGACAAATGACAAATCACTTCGATCATGCCGCCTCCATGTTTCCTCAGGGCATGCAACAACAGCAGGCACAACCAACATTCCTATTAACAGTCACGACATATAATCTGCTCTCAAACAACCAACATTCCTATTAACAGTCACGACATATAATCTGCTCTCAAGTACACTACACTCCAGTAAGACTTTATTTTGTTTCTAAGCGTCACAGGATGCGCAATGAACAATGCAATTGGCGGTGGGGTGGCATGCTGGTCCAGTCGGGCAGCTGGAAGCAGCGGTTACAGTTTATGATGTTGATGCCCAAGGGCATACACGAATATCACATTTCAGGGTTGCAGTAGACTCCAAATGGGAGAAAACTGGCCATCCGTTTGTCTATGCTGCGATTGCAAATGAATCCAAGGTAGGCGGGCAGTGCAGCAAACCATGACAATCCTGTGAAAAAAGAACCAACTCCAATTAGTCACGGCTCAAAGAGCGGTGGCTAACAAACATGTGATGCAGACACTCAGGCCTGCAGCTTGTCTAAAGCAGCGCTACTGCAAGGTAGGAGGTACATAGTTTATTTTTCCATTATTTTTTCCAAAAAAAATGGAAATGGATGTGGTTTATCATCCATCTATACCTAATATTAAAAAGCGAAAATTGCTTTCAACAAATTTTGGTTCATCGCACTCTCCCTGTCCATGTGTTCGTCCACTCTTCAGAGCATAAGAGTCCTAGCCGGTTTTAGTAGTAGTACATGATGAATTAGAGAGTAAAGTGCTAACAGGTTTATTGTCCCATCCGTAACCCAAACTCACAACCCATACTCAAACAAGTTTAAATAGCACCGTCCAACCACGGTGCGGAGTCTGATTACAAAACCCATTAGAACAGATGATGCCGAAGCAAAATAAAAATATATAAAAAGAAAACTCTCCCGAAGTCAGTCATCCTCTAAAGGTAACTGACCAGATTACATTTCCAAAGATGCATTGCATAATTGGAAGTTGAGACTTAAACCACATCTCATGCCAATATCTCTTGCACGACTATTCCTAGTGTAAGAATGCAATATAACTGAACAACAAAGTAAAGCAAAAGGATGGGAAAATATCTTTTATGAAACTATGATTGACACTGGGATTTGCATAAAAGAATGGTCTGATTACAAAAACAGAATTGTGGTAGTGAACTCTTACAGTTACCTTCAATGATCAATCTTCGTCCGAAATCAACCTGTAATTATACAATGATAAGTTAGCTTCTACACATTTCTCTATGCAACTGAAAAGAATTGTTTTCAATTTGTCACAGCCTTTGGTTTGACAAAATCATCAGCAGCACAAGAAGAAGAATCAGCATATCAGATAAATTCCCCATGCATTTTCCATGGGTACTGAAGAACAAAAAAAAAAAGGCATATAATTTGCTTAATTAGTCTTCTCAGAAGAAAAGGCACAAAGAGCACAAGTCAATCCCAAGAGAAGTAAAATTGTCTGTTTGCTGGATCAGTTACATTATGGACTTGGTTGGAAGTTAAGATAGGGAGCAAAAGTAGGGAAGGATTTAAAGGAAGATGGTACATAATTGATGGGACAAAATAGAGGGTCAAGTCCTTTCCTAGTCCAAGGCATTTAAGTACCAACATTCATGCCCTTAATTTTCACTAACTGAATGCTTCATAAATCTTTAGCGTGTATTTGGCTAGAGCACAAGCAACATTTATAGTTTATAGTAATAGTAACTGCAGAAACATGTATAGGCTTGGAAACAGTGTCTAGCAATCTCACAAAAGAACAGAAAAGAAAAAAGAGAGTAATACTGTGTGGTATAGCACATTAGAATAATTGAAGTAAAATGGTTTGAAGTTAAAACCTTTGTTCATTGAGCATCGTCCCTCTATTTTTTTTTCATCTAACACCTTAGATGTTAGAACCTGTGGGGTCTAACAATGCAAACTTTGGATATTACTAATAGTCAAATTCAACAAAGTTGGACTTCATCTTCCACCTTGTGATATTAAACCTTTTGTATGGTAATAGTCAAATTCAAATTGTAGTATCTTATCTCCAGATTTCAGAAGTCTTAAGGGAGACTACTAATTTAGTGGTTATTTATTCCTGTTTTATTAACGAATTTTACAATTTCTAGATCTTTTAGGTTTACAAAAACTGGCCACTGTCAATTACTACCTCCAGTAAAAAATATCTGACAAATTTGACTTTGTATTGTCTTCGATGCATACCTTTGACCACTAGTATCTTCTAGCATTTGTTCTTAAATCTTCCAAATTTATGAGATCTTTCAAATGTTTTCCAATACAAATCTACACATATATCTTGCATGTTTCGAAACTAAATAATTTTAATGTAATTGATGTTTGTAGTTTTTCCAATTACCAGAGGGAGTACTTTCTGGAACAGATCAAAATGACTTGAACAGACAGAGACCCAGATGTAATGAGGTATTAAGTCATGATTTACCATCTGATAAAAAATCTAGTAGTTATAACATTCGTCGCTCATCTGGCCAAACACATGGACCATCTCCTAAATTTTTCCCCATCCAGTGAGCATCATGTTAGTAATTTCATTCTTTAAAAATCTTCCTTTTTATCATGTTTTGCCTCCATGATGGAAAATAGTTGTGCTCAAATTAAGTTTCTCCACATGAAGTACTTAAGGTATAACAATGGTGTTGTTGGGAGATAAATAAATAAATAAATATATATATATATCAAACCACACGAACCAATGGTATAAGTTAAGGCCAACGTTACAAAATCCAAATTAAAGGCAACATGATGCAGTTGCTCAGGCGCTCAGCGTAATAATGACACCATGACCAGCGTAGCTAGAGCACCTAGATGGTCAAAGGCAACATTAATCAGACTAGGCAGAGTGGCATAGGACCACCTGGGCCAGGTGGAATTGAAAGTAGGAGAAAGAAGAGAAGGTGGAGGTGGATGGGGGTGGTGGTGATGGTGGTGGTGAAGCAACCAGAGCAAAGACAGGTCAACAGGAAGCAGATGTGCGGCCACTGCTGAGAAGGCTCCATTGATGAATTTTGCCTCCCCTGCCATCCCTGTCTGCTCCATGTCAACCCTACATTAAGGATGATTCCACATGCTGCTGGACTCCAACACTTAGCCCTCAAACCTCCTTAGGCATGGCAGTGAGAGGAACTAGAAGAAGAGTGGACAGTATCACCTTCAACTCTAGAACTACTTTTTGAAGTTGAAGGTAGCAGTAGCAAGAGAAGCATTGCTCAACAATCAGCCTTGCCCCTATGTTGGAGGGCTCAGCATTCAGCAATGCTCTACTGTTTCCTTCATTTGCCTTTTCCAGCAGAAAATCATCTGATCAAAATGGCCTGGTCAATGATACAAGTCAGATGACTTGTTTAGCCAGTTTAGTCAAAGGCACAAACTGGATGGCTAATTGGTGATTATTTGACAATTTGATGACAATGCTCCATGTGGTAGAATGCCAATATTGCAGGTGCATGAGTATACATGCAGATTCTTATAACCAGAAAACCATCATATCAAAAGCCTAATAGAGTAAGAATAAAACTGGTGGTGAATCTAACTTTTCTTTAGATGGAAGGGTGATTCGAGTAATGAAAGATAGTGGCACATTGGAAATATGTATTGAATTCAGTGGTAACATTAATCCCAACCGTCTATCAATACAGCCATTTCAGTGACTACCTAGAACATCTATAAATATCTTAACTGGAAACTAACACGTAATGTGTCATCTGACTTGCACTGGAGAGGTAACAATGTAAAAAAAATAGCTGACCATTTTTATAAAACATTGTTCAAAATTAGTCATGAAATACAAATACTTACAATTGGCCAAGATACCATAACAAACCAATTTTATGCCCAATAAAAGTTCCAGGCAAATATGGATCCCAGAACAATGTAATTCAACTTCAACACCAGTCTGGATATGCAACTGTTGAAAATATCGAAAGTATGAATATAATATACACCCATCGAATCCTTACATGAACTCCCTATCCTAAACATGAAATTTAATCTTTCTAGACCCATCAGTCATGATCCCAGTCCAATTAGTGGTATCGGCATCCACATTAGTACGATCAGAAGTTGGTATCTAGTACCTTGAATAGGAGCACACATGATGTAACAAACAAACCACAAGGACAGCCTTTCCATGAATGCCCTATTATAATGTTATGCAGCAAAGTCTGAGCATGTTCTCTACTGACCTTGTAAGTAACTCAGAGATGTAAAACTACTAAATTCATGCAAGATACTCTAAAAACTATATTACAATGAACAACAAAAATGTTGACCAATCACCACATCTAGCATCAACAACAAAAGCCAAAGCCTGAGCTAGCAATGTCATGGTAACCTTTCAGGATGGAAACCAAAATCTATAAATGACTGTCATACCTCTAAGAAGTGCCATTCTTCTTCTTTCAAATCAAACTTTTCAGTATGGAGATCAATGAACTGCAGCTGAATTTATACAAAGAAAATACAAAATACTCATAAGAAATAATATAGTTTATAGAGTGACAAAGTAATCTGTTAATAAACTTACAGTATGCATTTTAGTTTCTTGATCGAAGTCAACTATCCAACATCCAACATACCTGAAGGAATAATATTGGGAAAGACAAGGTAAAAATCCACAAAAAAAATATCACAATAATAAGAGGACAACGATGATCGATCAACTTCCTCAATCAGATAGGCACTGAAACATGATAAAAAGCCTATGCATATACTCAAAGACAATGAATAATCATGAAAACACTGAAGGAAGGTGAAATGTATTCTTAGGAAGTCCTCAAAGCTAGTCCCCTTTTTACATTAACAATGAGTACATTAACCAAGTCGAGGGGTAATGTTGCAAAATCGTAAAGATTATATATAGCTAAAAGAGTGAAAAAGATTGTGATTATCGAGGCCTACATTTTTTGCTGTGGATGCCACAGACGAAGAAACTGCTGTATGCAATTCTCACAATTTGTTTTCCTCTTTTTCTTCTTGGCATGATGATTCTGTGAGCTTCCTGAATACTTCGTCGTGCCTAGCATTTTTCTGCAGTTCGAAGATCCACAATGACAAACTTGAGCTGCTCCAAACTGGACAAATCTGTACATAAGACAGCAGGCAGTTCCACATACACCAAACTAAAGATCCAAATGGGTGAAACAACTTTGTCAAAAGCTAAAAGGATTGCAAAGATAGGATCAGTGAGGAATGGGATGGACATACTTATAGTCATAGGTCAGCTCCTCCCCTATCTTTATGTCACGAAGTGCGAAAATTCCAACCCTGGTCTCTCCATCAACAGTCCTGAAATAACATGATGCTAGTGTTATGTATCATGTTCATCAATGGAGATCATGGAAGTAGAGCATATATAGAGTATAACTAACCATTTCTGCATCTTTGTGTTTGGTTCACAACTATGGTTTATAAATCGGGACAGGTTTCCCTTGTTTGTTGCATCGATGACCATATTACTACTGACCTCACAAAGGTAGAAGTTAGTGTCATTCAGCCTTTTCATTGTCCATAGCCTATTCTCACATGTTCTGTCATCAATAACTAAAAGCATTTGCACGATATATGGATGTCAGTTTGATTGTTTAGCATCCAATGGAAGAAATACATCATAATATATATGCCTCCAGGCAATTTATTTACTTGCTCATAGTACATTTAAACAAAAACCATACCTTCTCCAACATACTCAATAACAAATTCTCTTTTCTTTATTTCATCCTCAGCAACCAATCCATGACCACATTTCTCTGTCTGGAATAAAATAATTGCCTTTCAGGAACTAACAAAATGTGAAATCCTTCATTTAACAAGTAGTCCCATTAAGAAGACAACAAAAGGCACCGTACAGAAAAAGCAACAACATAAGGAAAAACATTATTGTTGAATGATATATAACAAATGGTAAAGCTATTATAATCAAACTATTAAAATAGATTTTACTACAATATAATTACAACAATTGTCCAAAAAAATGCAACCAGTCATGGATAGTAGAGATGGTTTGGACATGTCCAACGGAGACCTCCAGAGGCACCGGTGCGTAGTGGAATCCTAAGCCAGGATAGTAACGTGAAGAGAGGCAGAGGAAGACCGAAGTTGACTTGGGTAGAGGCAATAAAAGGAGACTTGAAAGGATGGAATATACCCAAAGACTTAGCCTTAGATAGGAGTGCTTGGAAAACAGCTATTCACGTGCCTGAACCTTGATTGCTTCTGCTGGGTTTCAACTCTAACCTACCCCAACTTGTTTGGGACTTAAAGGCTTTATTGTTGTTGTTGTTGTTGTTGTTGTTGTTGTAGTCATGGATATGATTGGTAGCTTGCAGTAGTCTTGCCCACATTAGGCCATATACAGCGCAAATTGAACCAGCATAAACATATGTAATGTGTTTGTGTTGGTTTGCCATGTACAACAAGCTGCGTTTAGTAAGACTATGTTTGGTTGCTTACATTGTGTTGCTAACAAGGAAATCTTCATGAGCATTTGTGTTTTAAGCAGGAGTGCATCAGAAACATGGTAGTCAGAGCCCGAAACCAGGCATTCAATAATTCAGAACTCTTAAATTTAGCTTTTAGGATTATTACAAAAGTCACCTATGTCAATGCAGTGGGCCTAGAAGGCAAATCAAGAATTGCAATCAATATGGTTTTGGGTTGAATTGGTCAGTGCATGCAGCTCAATATGGTATCAAGGCAGAGGTGTCGAGTTAGATTCCTAGCTGATTGTGCTCGGTGCTATTCCAACATTTGAGGCTTGAGAGAGCATCCAGGTGACGTGAGGGGGAGTGTTGAAATATAAGCTTTGGGTGCAACTGTTTGGAATAGTTATTTCTTTTACCACATTTAGTAGTGGGTACTCTCCAGATGCTTGAGTTGTTGGTGTATGCAAGTCAATAGTATCAAATTCTTAACTATCCCCAAAAACTAGCTTGAAGAAAATTTATGGGAAATAGATTATGCCTATTGACAGGTAGGCTTTGTCAGGGTAGTAGAATCTGGTTAAGATCCACCATATTATTTCTGACATCATAGATTACAGAGCATCTTTTTATTTAGTAGCAATATTTTCTAATCTTGTTTTACTGTGCTACCATTTCTTTAACAGATAGAGTAATCAACAATCACCTTTTAGCACATAGAGCATCCCACTTAACACAGGAAATAGAGATTTTCTACAGAAGGTTCAACACAGTAAATATCTAAAGATAGGCTATATTAATATAACATTCATTGCATTGTACCACCAGCAAATGCATTGAGTGCTCACATCATTTGTTCCTGATTAACGATCCCTTTTGAATTAAATAATTATGAAAACTTGAATCAATCTCACAGCAACGATCTTACCTTAATCAATTTGGTTTTCTTAAGAGGTCTGTGCTGGAATGATTTATTGGTGCACGCGTTATCACATTCACATTGTGATGAACAGCAAGAGAAGAGCATGCTGCATCAGCAAAGTTTCAGCATGTAAGAATACCTCAATAATGATAAAACTCACAGGTGTAATAATCCAATAGCTCACAGATTCACATGTTTTTTGTATCCAGTTTTTATAAATAAATATAGAATAACAAGAACTGATTACAGAATTAAGCAGTATCAATGCTCTAGTGTATGTTACAAGTTTGTGTATGTGTGTCCACAAACGAATATCATACTGAATTGATGAACAAAGCGGATTCATTACGAAGAAAAGGCGAAAGATACATAGCAAGAGATCTGAAATAGAATCATTCTAAGATAGTACCCTTTTACAAGAGATACAAGCATGGACTTCATAAAAACTTGACAGTTTAGGATGGATCATATAAAGCCAGTAAATATTTTGCCACAGAGGGAGGCAGAGAAAGCTTACCCACAATGGCAGTCTCTGCCACACACAACTGATGAACCAGGAGAAGGCTTACAGCGACAAGAAATGCCATAATCTTCAATGCGTCTCTTAGTGCAATATACATCTTAGTAGAATTAAGGACAATAAAAATGTGGACATGTCCATAAAAAGGCACATATTCAAATTCACCAAAGTAGAGTAATATTTCCATTCTCCTTTTTAACTCAGAAGCTAGAAAAAAATAATTTGACTCCACTCGCAATAAGAAAAAAAGAACCATATGACATTAAGACACATCCCTAAGGTAATCACAATACTGTATTACTAGTTTCCTTCGTGCACTGATTTCTACTTCAGACAAGGGCTATGTAATGTAGTCAAGTTACAGGATCTCTTAGATGAAACACTAACTCGACTGATAAAAAAGAGGCATAGAATAGAAAGTTTGAATATGTTGAACAAGAACATGTCAGAATATGGTACTTTGATGACAGATAGTAGGAATTAAATGAGGCAAATGTGCAAATAAATTATCTTGAGAAAAAAAATACTCCTATGCAATCAAGTTACAGGATCTGTTGGATGAAACACTAACTCGACTGATAAAAAAGAGGTATAGAATAGAAAGTTTGAATATGTTGAACAAGAACATGTCAGAATATGGTACTTTGATGACAGATAGTATAGGAATTAAATGAGGCAAATGTGCAAATAAATTATCTTGAGAAAAACAATACTCCTATATTACAGCGAAGGTTCAAAATACTAGTTGGTAAGGATACTCCGCTTGATTGGTTCGTAGCGGCCTAACACGTTCAATTGTTTCAAAAAGGGCAGCGGATCAAAATCTGCAGGTTCTATCTTGCTGATCAGTTGCTCAAAAACATTCTCGATTTGCTGCAGCACAAAAGTAAAAGATAGGCAAGTGAGAGATATTCCCAAGCAGGAGCATAAGTAACTAAGTAGAACGGAGAGTCTTAAGGCAATGATAGTAACATCCACTCCTATATGGCCATTCTCCCTAGGAAGAAAAGAACATTCAAGCAGTGGGTGCATTACGAGCGTCAGAAGCATGTACAGAATAGATTTCTGTGACTGATGCACCACTAGCCAAAATTTCATTTACAGAGTAAATTTTATCTTTGTATGATCTATATTTGCCCAAAAAAATCAAGGGAAAAATACAGAAGCACAATCGACAGCAAATTTCTTTGGACAAAGAACTGCAAGCACACTCACCTCTATCAGATTGACCCCGAGTGCCGAGGAAGACGAACCCACGCGGACCATGGACAGATGGATTGGGGCGGGGATAAACTCACAATAATCTGAGATGGAGGAGAGATTTGGGTTTTGAATAAGAACGAAAAAAACAACAGCTACTGAACCAAATCCACCGCCGAATTGAGGCAAGAGAGGTCAAGTTGGGGTTTCCTCTCACCAATATCCACCAGGAAGAGGTAGAGGAGCAGTGGCGCGGGGCGGGGCGGCGCACCAGCAGCTGGTGCTGGTGGTTTAAGCGGAGAGTGACGCTGCCTCTACTGCCGAGAGAGATAAAGAGGGCGGCGCTGCGCTCCTCTGGGTCGGCTGCCTGGAGCTGGGGAGGGGGAGGAGAGCCCGCCTAGGGTATTGCTGATGCCGCCGCCGCGGCGCCGCTAGTTTTGGCAAGCTTTAATTGGATACTACACTTGAATTTGTAGCTCCAGGGGCGAGGAAAATCGAACCAATGCGAGAGGAGGGGAAAGGGGGCAAGCGGGAGAAGTGGCTCTGCGATCCGGCAGAAGCAGCGGCGGGGCTCGCCGGCGGCAAGTCAGCGGGGAAGCTGCCAGCTGCAGAGATTAGACAAGCGAAGTGGCAAGACAAGCAAAGCAAAACAAAGGGGTCCGACGGAGCTGGAGGGAGTGAGGAGTCTAGCACTGACTGGCATGTGGGGCCGCGGAGTATAGGGCCAATTTGTTAGCCATCTATGGGCCCGATATTTCAACGTAGCAGTCATAACACGGCCCATACCTGTTTCTTATTAGATTAGTTGAGAAGAAAAAAAGTCCTTTTAACACTCTCAGTTTTCACACTAGTTTCCCTCATAAATAAAACCCAATTTTGAACCTCTTCAACTTTTAGGGCCCTGTTTGGATGTTGTAATATTTAAAAACCATAGTATCAAGAAACTACAGTTTCAAAATCCGTAGATATGCAAAACCATGGTTTAGAAAAAAAAATGGTATAGAATGGAGTTTATAAAACTTTAAAAAGACTACAATTTTAGGAATACTATGGTTTTTATAACCATAAAATTTGTTATATCCAAACACTTCATGGGACTCTAGATCAAAGTATTTCGCAAAACCATAGTATTTTTCTAAAACCCTAAAAATACTTTCCATCTAAACAGGGTCTAAACTGTTTTTATACACAGGCCAGTTTTGGACTATGGTTTTGTCTACACGTCATGCCAGCTAACACAAGGGTAAACTAAACTTCCTTAAAAAATTTCAGGGTAAATTGAACTATAAATATTTGAAAACAAATTATCAAGTTTTAGAAATTTGGTCTAATCTTAGAAAAATCATAGGAAAAATTATTTTAGCTCAAAAATTATCAAACTAGTTTCATTTTTTTTTCTAAAATCATGTTCCATGTTATGGTGCCTAGATTAAAATTATTAAATATTCTATGGACTCATTTTTATGTTTATTTGTTAACTGATGCTCTCGTTATCTATTATGATTAGTTGATGTTGACCAACCAATCTACATAGGAGGCTAAGTGACACATATTCTCTTCCTAGTAGATACTCTCATTATCTATTATATTTTGTTTTTTCCTAAAATTTATTTTATATTGTTGGTGCTTGTGGAGTGATAATTGTGAGTCATATCATCCAAACTTCGACGATAAACATTGAAAGTGTTTAGGGATGGCTAGAGGGGGATAAATAGTCTATTAAAAATTTCTTCAATGATAAAACACTAGATCAAAATAATTAGTATAGACAATTCTAATAGCCACTATAAGCCTAAACTAATCACTTCAAAGCAAGATTCTAAAATAATTCTAATGTAATAATTTAGGGCCCCTTTAGCACCGCTCCTAGTCACAGCTTCATGCTCAGCTTCCGCGGAGCCCTACCAAACACTTAAAATACAACTGGATTCTGGTGGAAAGCTGAAGAGAATCACTTCTCCATTAACACTACGAGTTAGGAGCTAAAAACCCCGCTCTCCACCGCTTCCCACTGCTCCCCATTCATTTGCTATAGGAACCACTTCAGAATTGATTCTTACCCGCTCCCCACTAGAATCACTCCTTCAGAGAATCAAGAAGTGAAGCTCAAGAATCAAAAATTAGAGCTCTACTAAAGTGGCCCTAACACTACTACTAGAGCACACAACTACTAGAGGCAAGCTATTCAACTAACAGAGCTACATAAGTAAAGCAACTAATCGTGCTACACTACTCGAATAGAAGATCTACTGCTATAACTACACAAGCACAAGTATATGAATGTAAAATGCAAGTGTAGAAGAGAGCAAACCACCGAAAGCATGTGACACAAGATTTTTCCCCAAGGTTGCAACCTAAATCCTCGTTGAGATGAGTCCTATTAGACCATCGCTTCACGAGCCTCGCGAGCACACAACCTCTGCCCTCAACATATATGGGCACTCATGTAGAAGCTAGTAGGTCACCAAATCACTCTCCATCCTCTTACTCTTCGCAAGCTCCTACGAGGATGAGTACAAAGCCCCTCACAGTCCCTTCGATCGAAGTCACCAGATAATCACCAAATAGTACCCAACAAGCTCCACAAGCTCCAAGCCGTATATGTGAGCTCCTAGCCTATTTAGGAACCCTATTGGAGATGCTCTAACAGCCCCTATCTCTGTTGCCATCTCTATCGACATCTCGACTAGCATGGATAACAACCCCTATCTTTGTCGTTAGACTACCGTCTCAGTCACCCGAGCATGGATACAGGTGGGGATGAGGTATTCTACAATGTGCAGTAGTATTTGTACATACCCAACTATATATATCTATATCAACCTGTTTTAATTTGGGGTAAGTTAGAAGTGGTATATTGTAACACCCTGAATTTTGATCTAATTTAAAAAACACTAAAAATTTGAACTTTTTAAAACTTCGCATAGGAAGTAATAATATATACCATTAGCATAGGTATTAGAGTAATATAAATAGGTTCACTTAAGAATAAAATGTGATGTGTGGATTTGCGTGATCACTTGTTTGCTTGCTTGTTGAACATATGGTGGTACACCTTGCATACTTGCATATTCAAATTTGAATTAAAAAATCATTCAAACAAATGCATAGCAAATCTAGGAAATAGAAAAAGAATTGGAAAATGAAGAAGGCCACTTGGGCTCATTTCCCCTCCCCCTCACTCTCGGCCCGCGACAGCAGCAGCCCTCCCTTCTCCCTCCTCCCTCTCCCTTTGCTCCGCGTTGGGCCGGCCCTTCGCCGCGACCTAGCCCATCTCACACAGCGCCACGCGCCCTCCCCCTCTCTCCCACTCGCTGATGGACGGGGCCCACATGTCATCCTCATCGTCTACCTCTAGACGACGGGAATACCACATCATGGTGCCCGCCTTGGCCACGCCGCCATGGCCACGCTCCGCTCGCCCAACACCGAGTGGATAAGATCGACCACACTCACGTGAACCCCCTCGGCCCCACGGATGCTCCTCCCCTTCCCTATCTCTCTCACTGTGCCACCATCGACACGTGGCGCCATGGCCACTCCCTGCCAACACCACCATGGGTAGCCACCAAAGCAACCTCCACTGCGCGAATGGGTACGGCCACACTGTGGTGAACCGACCTAGCCAATTTGAACATGAGTGCGCACAATGGCGGAGCGCGCCTCGAGAAAATATCTCGCCAGCCAAACCGACATTGCCGGCCTATAAATAGGCTCGGCTGGTGACGCTCTAACCTCGCCCTCCTCACTCCAAGCTCCGCAAGGAGAACATCTCCTCTCCCCCTCCATTTCCCCTCTCCACTTCCCTTCCGAGCTCAGTCTCGTTCTTCCCAAATCGAGAACTGCCATCACCATTGGAGCCGCTTTCCCCCTTCTCCTTCTCTGCTGCATCCCAAGCCAATTGGTGAGGTAGGTGAGTCCTAGAGCCTTCCCTTTAACTTCTGATGTAACTAAATGATCGTCTTTCGCTCTATGTTACGCTCCCATGGAGCACCTCGCTCCGCCAAGCCACCATGGCCAACAACCACTACCAGCAAGGGCCCGGCTAAGCACCACACCACCGCCATCGCACTCGCCACCCACTTGCACACACGTACATGCAGCCAGTTGAATAGATTAGGGCCTCTAAGTCCGTGACCACCGCACGACGCTGTCGTGATTCCTCTGGCGAGCCGCCACCGCCACCATAGCCATTCTCCGGCGCCCAAATCACCACCGACGCCCACGGCTTGGCCTCCTAAGCCTCCTCCACTACTTCACCACACGCACTGGGGCTCAGCCTCGCCAGGCGTGAACCGCTCTAGTGAGCCTAAGCTCCCCTCCCCTGTTCTTCGATGCCACGACGGTAGCCGTTCGGTCACCGTTGCCTCCCTCTCTCTCCCTTCACTTCCATGTGGGACCGGACGGTGACGTTGTTCCGTAACGGTCGTCCCCAGCCGTTACCCTCCACTCCCCCTCATCCTTCTCTGACTAGTGGGACCGTGGCCATAACGCCATCACCACCCCAGCCCCACCGGTCAGCCACACACGCCACACACACACACAGCGCCGAGTACACTATAGAAAATGGTAGGTGCACCCAGGTAATGTACACAAAGTGTTTGAAATCTATTTTCCTGACTTAGTAAAATTTCTAGAAAATTTGTAAATAAACTAGATGCAATAAGGAAATTAATCATGTAGTTTGCACATATTTTCATGTACCAGATAATGCACATAAAATTCCACATATTTAATTAACTATAGGTTAAACTTCTAAAATAGATAACTTTTGCATCTTAACTCCGTTTTGCATGAAACCACTTCTAAAGTTCATCTAAAATCTAGCTCTATGCATTTCACCTGGTACCACCATATTGTTCTATGTTTGCTTTTGCTCTTTTGGTTTATGTTTGGTGGTAGTCTCATTTGGTAGCTACGCCCGGCAGACGATGGTGACTACCAGGAGAACGAGGACTGGACTACGTAGACGTGCCGGAAGAAGACAACAACAAAGGCAAGTCCTAGCTCCCCCTTCCTTCTACCATCTTGCTTTAATTATTATCAAATGCATAAACTTGATTAAT